ATGATGGCGTAGCGCGGTTGACGCAGCCCTTGACTCGTTGATAAACGCGAGAACACGCGTTGTTGAATATCACAAGATTAGTAGTACTAGCGCTTGGGCTAAATCTTCTAGTTTGTTGTATGTGAGCTCAACCTTCTAGTTACTTCTCGCACTCATTACTACAACACTACTACTTTGTTGAAATGCTTCATAATCAAATGTGAAGCCAACACTGACTATTTCATCTACAGCAGCAAGATGGAATACACTTCTGGACTGTACACTTTGATTACTACGGTGACTGATTCGTCCAATGGAACAGTTGTCTCTGGGAGGAAGGAGCGGAGGCGGCTCTTTCCTCCTTCCCTTTTCAGTCAACCTTATCTTGACCTCGCGAAATATAACTTCATATCTTCTGCCATGCCTTGCCTTGCCTGGCACTGGACCTAGATTCCCTCTTTCTGACCGGGCGACTTAGGGCAAAAGGGTTATCTCACGAACCATAACCTCATCTCTTCTGCCGTGGTTTTCCTGGCCACTGGCTCTCGATTCTCTCTTTTTAATCAGAAGACTTAGGGCAGTTGCTATTCTACCCTACATACCCCTGAAAGCCGGGTGTATATAGAAACCGAGTGATCGTCCAAAAATGCCTATTGGTAACATTCGACGAAGATCCCAACAGATAGCTGTTAGTACAGCTGTAGCCCGACTTAGGGCTGATGACACTGCCCAAGAAAGGCTTTTACGTGGGAGTAAGTTCAGGAAATAACGGAAATACCGAAATACGGTAGTATCCAACTAATATTTCTCATTATCCAGCCTATGATTCGGTAGAATTCTATGACTCCTCCTCTCCGGCGTATCGTAGACGTCGAGAAGCAGCGAAGAGAGAATTCTTAATGATCATTCGAGCTCTTCTGATTAGTAAAGGAAAGATTGATCCGCAAATATCAGATGAGGACCTTCTCCGATATTCGTTTCAACCATGCAGAGCAGTGCCTATCATAACAGGATACCTGGCATACATTACCGAAGACCCCGCATTTAGGAACCGAGGAAGACTGGAGGATAAAGTGAAAATAGGGTCGATTCGGGTCAGAGGTGCTTTTCTATGGTTTTATGCCCAAGCGATTCTGAAAGAGAAGGCCGCGGAAGTTTATGTAGATTGGGCAGATAAGGTTTCTAAGGTCACACACAAGGCTGCCATAGAACAGGGGCTATCGAAAGCCTCGTACCACAAGAGTTATTATGGAGTCGCTGAATTACGGTTGTTATTTAACGCACTTCAGCAGAAGGCTCACCATGTCGACTGGCACAAACAGCTATATGTACTTTGGGCGCTTGGGTCCATGTCTGTGTTACGACCTAGTTCAATCGGTATCTCGAAAGGATATGAGAATTATCCCGACCAGTTTCTCATGTGGAAAGACTTAAAATTCTTTCCAAACTTCAATAATCAAGGTCGTCTGGCTCTACAACTGACAGTACGATGCATTAAGCACCGGCGGGATGTATACAAAAACGATACTCTGGATACAAAGCCTGTTACATTCTTCTTCATGTCCGTTGAGAAGATGAAAACCTGATTGTTGATGTACCTCTGCTTCTTTTACTGCTTGGGTGGGAACGCGGTGTATTTGAGAGTCACTACAATAGCTTCGAATGCCTGATGGCCTCAACAGAACTCAGCCTGCCAATAAAGAAAGAAGCAGCATCATTACCAGTATTTTGCTCACAATCTCAATCAAACTCCTCGCAACTCAATCTGAACAAGTCGCTTCGGTCGACCCAGTTCAATGCACCCCTCCAAGCAGCCGCACGCTCATGCAAAATTCTCTCAAGGATCACATTTTACTCGGGTCGCCGTGAAGGCATTAGTGTCATTGCCAGGAATGTGGGTATAGAAATAGCTCGGCAGATTGCTCTTCATAAGCCCCCTGCATCGGAATCATTCTTCAAATACGACTATGGTCCTGGAGATGTAAATATTACGGAAGCAATGTTGTCAGAGTTGAAACCCGACCATGTACGCAACACAATACGTCGTGCGCTCGAGAGTCCGGCAATGAGGCAAGCATTGAGGTATAATCTACACGACGAAACCGTCTACGCCAACAAAATGGTTGCTAATGATCCCGATGTCAAGCAGTTTGACGAGATTCTCCAAGCTTGTCTCACAATATTGGTTTCTCAGTTTGACATAAGTCCACCCACCATTCAAGCTGTGACCAAGAAGCTTGCTGCAATCTCATCTGAGACAGTCAAATTTTCCCTTCCATTTTCCGATGACGAGGCAATGACGCCGGAAAGTTGGCGGCGCAGTGTTGATTCTCTCCACAATTTATCAGCCTCCAAATCAGCTTCATTTTTCAAGCAGTTTCTCAGCTATAGGAAGGAAAACCGCAGATTTTTGAATCGCCATTTTCGTAAGCAGTATCGAGAAAAAATTAAATCTCATCGTGAAGCTCAATCTACAACTTCCCGACCTGCTCTTGCTGTGAAAGATAAAAACATTCCTACCTTGAGATCTGCCAAACGAAATCGAGCCCCTCAAGAAGAAGAAACCGTACAACGCGACGATTCCGACCAAAACAAGAGACATAAGTACAATCCCGATGAAGATGATGATACTAGTGAGTACGCTCCCGGCGAAGACGAGGAAAGTGAGGACGACGACTATGAAAAAGATGGAGATGACGATGATGACGAGGACGAGGATGATGACGAGGACGAGGATGATGAC